GACACGATCTCGCTACCATCGCCTACTTGTCTATCTTAGAGTTGTGGCCTCTTCTGGTGTTGTGTTTTTCATGTGCGGCTCTCGCAGGAATGATCATTTGGGTTTTAGTAAGTATAACTTAATAGGCTGTATAATAGCTAGTTTCCTTTACGTGTAGCGTGTTTCGCCGACTCATTAGAACATTTCTTAACTTTCCCTGCTCTCAAACGGATTTTAGTGACAGCACTCTTCAGCAGCAAGAAGTCGAATAGCTGTTTTGCAGTCGAGCGGCCTGAAAGCTTTCGCGTTCTTGAAGAAACACGAAAAAAGAAACAAACACATCACATGTACTTTGAGCTTCCATTGAAAGGGTTTTCAGTCACGACCAGCATCAATAATGTATGCCTTTAAAGAACTGATGCCGATGAACCATTTCTCAATTTGTAAAACCCCTTTATCCATTTTTATTAGCGCCAACACTAGCCACCTGCATCAGCTGTAGAACATTAAAGAGAGTCTATTTATGAATATGATTCCAATATTAGCTACCGGAGTCAAACGGACATATCTTCCTTTAGGGCCTGTTTACATGGAGGGAGGGTGCCCCGGCTAACCGGGCTACCCGGCTAAGCGGACTACCCGGCTAGAAGGGTTGACACATAGCCCGCCTTTACATGCAACTCACCTAACCGGAACAGTGAGTGGGCTGCGTGGGCTATCTTTTGAGCGGCCGCTAAGCACAACAAACAAAATAGTAAACCAAAGAAACTTTTTGGCGGCAAGTCTAATTTTTTTATCGCTCATTCCGCTAGTGGCCTCTTTTCAGTGTATAGGGAAGTGTATAGTGTATAGAACTACGAAAAAATTCACCTCGCGCCGCCATGTTTTCGCGGTTTATCTCACCTTGGCTAGCCGGGATAGCCAGCCACGAACCGTTTACGCGGTAAAAAGCTATCCGCCTAGCCGGGTGCCCCGAGCAAGTAGACAGGGTGCCCCGGGTAGGCCGGCTACCCTGGCTAGCATGTAAATGCTTCAATGCGTTTTCTAAAGAAACGTATGAGAAGTTAGCCCTCCCAGGGTAGCTCGGTTAGCCGGGTAGCCCGGTTAGCTGGGGCACCCTCCCTCTAAGTAAACAGGCCCTTAGAAAACAGTCCTAAGAAAATACGCGCGCTGATTGGTTAAAAATCGTATTGCTATAACTCGATAGAAACACAGAACTAGACCGAGCTGTTGACGTAATGATGGCGCGAGCAAAGAGAATTTACATTTTGATAATTAAAATTAACAAGATGTTCCTTCAGCTAAAGCTTGACTTTTTTTTTCAAGGATAGCGGGTCAAATCCAGAACAGTTTCCGAGACGATTTTGGAGGGGAATTGCTGACGGCATGTGGTGGGCAGTTGTTACCATGACAACAGTTGGGTAAGTCAACAAAGAAACGTTTTTTATCCCTGGGGGACGGTTTCTTTAGATTTACGACAGCAGCTTAATTTCCTTGTCTTCAAGTTCTCTCTAATTGTGTCGTGGCTATTTTGGGCCGGATTGTTCAACGTCCTATTGAACTAACCCAAGATCAGCGTTAATTTTAATTTCAGATTTTGTATTTTTTTTAGGTGACGTTTTCTGTTTTTATTATTTGTCCTTCAGTTTTGAGCTTGGGTAATATCAAACTATACAAAAAATAAGAAGTGAAAAACATTTTATAGGGGAAAAATTGATACTTCGCTTAACTTTTAATCATTTGTTAGCGTTAAGCCGGGTTATTGTAAGCCGAATTTCACTAATTTTTACCTCTCTTAAGTGGCCACCAATGTTTAGCACTATGTGGGGTCACTTACCGGTAGGTTCAACTCCCGGGTTCAACTTCAATAACTT